CACACGATGGTTTCATCAGGAAAAAAATCTGGAAAAAAATATATAGCTTAAAGGGGCTAACAATATTGTTAAAAAATTATGATTAATGTTATAATGTAAAAAATTAATGTTTAAAAAATGTAAAACTGCCTTTATTCTAGCCGAAATAAAACAAATAAAACTTTTTACAGAGGAAAAAATATTATCAGACATACTGTGAAAATTTCCTTGCTCTGTTCAACATGATCTGGGAAATATTTAAAAAGGAAAAAATATTCAAAGGGGGCGAATAATTCTGACTTCAACAGTGCGATGACTTGCCTAATTACACTCACCTGCCTAGTTAACATAATTAACCTAAAGTCTTTAAATGTCACTTTAAGCTGTATAGAAGTGTCTTGAAGAATATCGAGTGTAATATTATTACTATCATCATGGCAAAGATAAAATAAATCAGTTATTAGAGATGAGTTATTAAAACTATTATGATTAGAAATGTGTTAAATGAAATCTGCTCTCCATTAAACAGACATTTCGAAAAAAAATAAACAGAAGGGCTAATAATTCAGGGAGGTTCATAATTCTGACTTCAACTGTACAGTTGTTTACAGACAGGAACAATAGCCTAGTGGTTAGAGCACTGACATACAGTAGCACGTCAGGGCATCCCGAGTTCGAATCCCGGCTCGGGGACATTTCCCTACCCTACCCCCCCCTTCTCTCTCTCTCCAGCTTTGCTTCCTGTCTCAATACCGTCCTACCTAATAAAGGCAAAAAGGCCAAAAATAAATCATGTAAAAAAAAAATGTTAGAAAAAAAAATTATGAGAATTGTCAGCCTGACAAATTTTAATTGGACGAACATTTGTTAGTCTTATACCTTACAATGTAGATGTATAAATAATAATTAATAAATATATTTAAAATTGGAGGAAATGTTTACATTTTGCATTGTTGGACTGCTTCTGAAACATTTGATGGAGCTAAATTAAAATATATTAAAATATATTTTAATATATAAAATCAAAATGCAGTTTAATAATTTTTTTTTTTTTTTTGCAAAAATGAAGGACAAAATATGATAAAATGAAAAAGGTCATAGTCAGATATAAATAAAATAAACAAGATTAAGCAAGTATATTTAGCAAATGTTGTTTGACCCGCGCGTGTGTTACTTTCGTCCCTGCTGACGGTGGCAAAATTAACAATGTGCACCTTTTATTTAAAGTGCAGGTATTGGAGTTGTTCTGCATTGATACAAAACAACAGCTGATTTTGACAGACCGCTCGTGACTTAGTAACCACAGCGAAAATATACACTGTATTTCTGCAAAAAACATTCTTTTAAAATGAGGTTTTTATTACAAATGTTACTTTAGTCCCCGCTATCCCCTACTTAAGCAGTACATCAACAAAGTAGATATATGCTGTGGTAATTTACCAACTAAAGCTTTTAAAAATTAAAACATACAGCGGGGGAAATAAGTATTGAACATATGATATTAATTTACAATGACGAAAGGCTGAAGATTGCTACTGAGAGAAATTTCAGCTGCTGTCTGGTCTTTTCATGTGTTTCTACACCTTCCTTTCTTCATGTGTTCAATACTTCTTCCTTGCGTCATTTCAATTTATAACACATAACTATACTTATAAACTAATTAGTTTTAAATATTGATTTCTTTGGTTGTTACCAACATCCGACGAAGAACAGAAGACAACAGCAGCACAAATGTGTTCTGAGAATAATGGTGACGTGTTCAATACTTATTTCCCCCGCTGTATGTTGTTTTCCTCTTGACTGTACTGAAGTGCATTCTGTTCTTACTGTCCTGTCTCCATCTCTGCGGGAGGATGTGATGTACAGTCAATGATAATAGTGACGTCGTCACTCTGACAGGCTGAGAAACGTCAATGGGACGCCCTCGCTCCTGCGTTCTCCATTAGAGGATCTAGAGGACTGAAATCATAGGCCGTTACGAGCCGCTGCATCTCTCCAATCAGCATGCTAATTTCCCTCCTACGGTGACATAAAACTACCGTCGCTGCAGACACACGCACACATACAGTCAAAGCCAATGCATTACTAGCCGACATCACTGAGATCTGCTTATTTGCCAAGATAATAATCAGTGTCTGTGATGCATTTCCATTATAATTTAGCATTTGCTGTTGATTTTTACAAGGTGGTAAATTAAATTGCTTTATCTAATCATATTTTTCTCTTATTGTAGTGAAATGCATTTTTCAAAATCCAATATATGGAGGAGAAAATAACTCTGCGAGAGTTTATGTTATATAAGCAAATGTCACATGAGGAAGCGTGCTGTTTTCATGATTATCGGCAGCTTCATTGATCAGTGTAGAAGATCAATATTAAAAGAAATTACCAGATAGAATTTTAAACAATCTGTATTAATAAATGAGCCATTCATAAAGGCAACCCCTGTGTATGAATATGTCAATACTAATTTATATGGTATATATATATATATATATATATATATATATATATATATATA